AATGGATGGATGGATGCATCTGTTCATCTCAACCAAATTAGACTTCTGTAACATCTTTGAAATCTTGATAATGTGCGGACCTGATTGTGTGCATGTCATTGCTTTTTGTCTAAAGCATAGGTGTACACTTTGAAGGGGACCCAGAAGATGAGTCACCCTCAATACTAAGTACACTGACCTTTTTCCACCACAATCAGGACATGAATGAATCATTTTGGCTAAAAATGTGTCATATTCTTGTTTTTCAGTCGGCTTCAGGAACATCTAGTAGTTGAGATGATTCTTCAAAGTCATCCCAGACCACAGAAAGGTTATGCGTGATATATGAAAGACAGTAACAAGCTTTGGACATGAGCAGAAATCTTCCTCAAGCGCACATGATGCACTAAAAGTTAAGGGCTGTACAAATTAATTACATTTAATCCATCTGTCACTGATGAGAAACAGTTTCACATGCACTTTTAAAGAGGTTACTTTCCCAAACACAAGACACTAAGAGGGTAAAACAGTAAATCGTACCGATATATGTGTCTGTTGACTAATGGCACTTCTCTAGATTGTTTTCTCCTGACTGGATCCTTGCTTGTGTTGTATCTGCTCTCAGATAAAAGCGTCTGCTAAATGAAATTGTTGTTGTTGTTGTAGAATGAATATTTAAGAGCCATACATAGTGCCTGACAGCCTTACTGCATTAAATTTCATTGTGTTTTGAATTGTTATCTGGTGCCTAAATTTTGTGTTTCCTTTTACACAAAAAATACCATAAACTAATGCAGAAAAAGCACAATTGGTTGCTTAGAAACTTACCAGAAATTACAAAATGTACTTTACTTTAATTACTTTACGTGTCTCCTCCAGTGTCCACATGAAACCTTCATTCATGGTGACAGATGTTTTTTTTGTTTGTTTTTTTTACCGTCTGTGGTTAAGTGAATATTTATTAATGTAAAACACTCTGAGTTTACTGGGAATCAAAGGTGCTCGCCTTACCTCTCCTTGCGGTAGAGCACGGCGCGCTTTCCTGCGCATTTAGCGCAGTCGCCACCCGCTTGAACAACTTCAATTCCCACAATTCCTGCGTGTGAGAGCCATTCATTAACAAACAGCAACACAGCGAGAGAGCCAACATGTCAGACAAGAAACAGACCGTCGACCTGGGCTTACTGGAGGAGGACGATGAGTTTGAAGAATTCCCAGCCGAGAGTAAGTATTATATATATACTCGTTGAAGCTTTACAGCTCTTGTTTTATTTTTTTACAGGCTGTCTGTAACTGCTGTTGCGTTTGGACGCAGGGCCCTGCAGCGGTGACTCAGCTAGCCTAGCCTGTTAGCGTTAGCATTAGCTAGCGAACTTAGTACGAAAACAGCCCACAGTGTGCTGATGTAGCGGGAATAGTTCGTCTATTCATTGAGTTCGTAGCTTAAAAGTTCAAAACCACCAATTTTAGTGATGTTTAACAATACCTACCAGTGATTCTTCTGTATAATCCATCTCTTTTAGATACACCGGCTAACGTTAGCACGCTAAGGCTAATAAAGCTAAGTCATCAAGCTAAAGGGTTCAGATCATCTTAACAGTTAAATATGATTTTCACACCGTCAGTTGCACCCGTTGCTTTTTTTTTTGTTTAAGAGTTGAGTTATTAATTTAGAGTTGATGTTAACGTTGGGAATGCTTTAATTCTCAGATTGGACGGGGCTGGATGAAGATGAAGATGCTCATGTTTGGGAAGATAACTGGGATGATGACAACGTAGAGGATGATTTTTCAAATCAGCTGAGGTAATCTTATCATTCAACAACATACACAACATGCAGCTGCATTTCCTTAGAGACTCTCTGTGCCTAGTAAAGCAGGTCAGCAAATGAAGATGCTTGGCACAGATGGATGAGTTCATTTTCATAAATGCTGTCACTTTATGAGTGAGAAAGATGGCTGTCTCAGTCATTTGGTGTGTATTAGAATGTCATGCTTACATCCTCCTCCTCATGTTGCACCGACCCAAGACAGTTAGCAAGTAAATAAAAAGTTGCATTTAGGAAAAGTCCTTAACTTAACCAAATATTTGCATAATATGTATACATCTTAGTTAAACTCAGGTCTTTGCTTTTAAAAAAAAGTTCTAACTATTTGATATGGACTTCTTGCTTGCTTAGTTATTTATATAAATTAGATGAATGCTAAAATAGCTATCATTTTAAAATAATGATCTTTGTGTCATTCAGCATCTCAGAACAACTACATTTACAATGCATTAAAGATATATAGATGATTACAATAATGGAAGCTATTACAAATGTTTTGATATTATTTACTTACAAGTTCTTTAAATACATTGTATTTTAGAGCCTCTTACTTTGAGACACTGGCCTGACATAGTTGAAAGATGCCTGATATGGACATATTAATGTCCTGAGAATTAAACGGGCTGCATTTAATGAAAAGAAATCAAAACTGACATTGTAAAGGCACTTCAAAACGTAGTAGATAGTTTATATTGTATAAATAAACTGTATTGCTCACTGACACTAATATTTGTGTTTGTTCTGCTAATATAAATAGAAAAGACAAGGGCATTTAGGATTAAGAACGGGGAATACATAGGATGTAATGGTTGTTTTTTGTGACTATGCAGCTTGATTTTAGGACTCTGCACATCCTGAAACTGTCTTTTAGTGAGCAGGTTCATCTTTTATTTAATTGCAGTGTGGGAACTGGACTTGCCTTTTTAGCTTTTACCCTGTTTGTAGCGCCTCTACTGCTCCTCCATAGGAGCCTGGGCCACTGCATGTTTCACATATATAGGAAATTGTGCCCCAGACACCTTCACAAGAACAACCAGTACAAAAAAAAACAACAACGAGAAAATCAAAATGCTGAATGCCCAGATGTACCTTAACTGTGTTGCGCTTCATATTTCTATTGAATTGTGCGTTCCACATAAAAGATTTTCATCATAAGATTCGTAAGGCTTTCCTTGCACTCACACTCAGTGAATAATCAATAAGTGTTTATAGATAAGTGGCTGTTCTGTTTTTATTTGAGTACACTTTCAGCAGTAATATGCCATTGTTTTATTTAAGCCAATTACAATAGCCATACTATTAAGCTATTTCTTAAAGATATCATTATTGTTAAAGGGCACAGCTTCTATATATATATTTAGTATGTAATCATCAAATCCATAGCTGCATGCATTATGCAATATTATGTTTTTTTTTTTTTTTCACTGCCATCTCCTAATGGTTCTTACAATCAATAGCAGAGGGTACTTATGCCTCAACCACCCACCTGTAATCATCTCTGCTGACTTGATCTTTCTATTTTCCTTTTCCTCCCTGCAGAGCGGAGCTGGAAAAACATGGTTACAAGATGGAGACGTCATAGTGGCTGACAAGGCCTTTCAGTGTTCTACGACACTGGATATGGACATTTATATTTGAATATGTTGACCACCCACCACAAGAAGAGATTTGAGGACGTTAATTTGTTTCTTTTTTTTGTAAGGAATATCGATGAAAGTAAAGAATTTGGAGGAAACCGTTCCTTTGAGTGTTTTTTTTTTTTTACTGACCAACTATACTGCAAATGTTAAGCATTTGTAGTTAATAAATTTGCTGTTATCTACGCGTTACATCTGTGTTTTTGTTGCGCTTTTGTGTTCCACCTACCTTAATGGTGTTTAATCTGATCAACAGAACAGTCTTGGCCGTCTAACTTGACGACATAAGTGGATTTCTCGAGTAATCATTGAAATGATGCCGTAAATGAGCAAGCTGTAAAAGTAGAATACATGTTAATTGCCTTAAATTCACGCAGGATGGGCAATGAGTTGATGTCGCTACTACAAATTTATTCCGTGTTCCTTCTAGCCCCCGGACTGCTCTTATTCTTTGGTACATACACTAAATCCATTTTGGCAGTCATGAAGGTATAGAAGATGACTCAGGGTTTGGCTAAAACATCTATAAATTACAGTCTTTGTAAGAGCTGTTGATCTCCCCAGAAACACACCTGCCAAGTCAATACAATCTACCTGTAATGGGCAGCTTGTTATTGCCCTCTGACACATTGTGCATTTATTTTGGACTACATGAATTTTGCATGATAGGCTATTACTCAGGTTCAAGTGCTCAACAGATATTCGTGATCATTTTGTAGCAACTGTACTTTTGTGAAAGGCTCTGTTTATTGAAACTGTCAAAGTGATGTCTGCATGATAGAGGAAGAGCGAACAAAAGTGTACACAGGAGAAAATGGAGATGTACATAAGCTGTGCGCAGTGGTAGTACACACAATGCAAACAAGTGTGTGTAAGTGTGCTTGCACGCTGCACACATATACAGAGGCAGTTCCTCTGCACTGTGCTGTATAACATCCCCCTTCCCTCTCAGCCCCACAGCGCTGGGCCGAGTCCCTGAAGGAGAGATTATCCACTGCCGTGTTTGTCAGAGGCAGGGAGGGGGTCTCAGCATGGGGCCTCCCAGCCTGCCTTGCCTGGGCCTGCCCCTACTGCCAGCCAGGCCCTTCTCTTCCGCTTGGCACAGCGGGGACTCTCGTACTGAACCAGAGGCCAATTTATCCCCGCCACACTCCCCCGGCAAAATGATTTCTCTCAGTGTTTTGTCGACTCTCGGTCCCAGGGTCCTAATGAGGTGAAATGGATGCCAGTAAGACCGAGGCTGCAAGAGCCGCTTTCATCCTGAAAACAATATCCATCCTCCACCTCTGGAAGTGGAAAGTAACCTGAAAACATTTACTCACTGTATTTATGTACATTATTGTTTTGTTGTACTGTCTCCATTTTGAGCAGCTTCACTAATATGAATGGGCTTTATTGAGCTCATGTACTTACCAGTCACTTTAAAGACATTAGAAAACATACAATAAGCTAAAAAGAGATCACGCACTAAAATGACTTTAATTATGAAGTCATATAGAGATCTTAAAGGTTCCAGCTGTTTGCAGTATGAATTAACTCGTCTCAAGATTTTTTGGAAATGATTGTGTCCTGAAATGTATAAGACTGGATGATGCATTGGAAAAATGCAACAGTTGTGACAAATGTTGGCTTTTTGGACACATTTGTACAATCAGTTTAAAAAAAAAAAAGGACGAAAGTAGTATACCCCTATATTTATCTAGCCTTCGATTAAAAAATAAAGCGATAAACAATGATTAGACCTTTCTTAGGGAGTGACAGCTGGAATCTGCCTTATTCAAATCGCTGATGGTCTTCAGTGGGATCTGCTGTTCTTTCTGCTATTGGAGTGTTCAGTGTCATACAAAGAGCTCTGCAAGGCCTCCAAGGAAAAAAAAAAAAAGACTGGTAAAAAGATCTACAAATTATTTGAAATCAAGCATTCCACTGTAAGGAAATTAGTCAATTTGCCAATTTGTCCAGGACTGGCTGCCCCGGCAAATTCATTCCAAGACCAGACATTTAAAAAGAATTCCCCGAGAACCTCAAAATTTCCGAACAGGATCTGGAGGTAACTGCAACTGTTGGTGTCAGACTGTATAAGCAAAGCAAACTCCCTGACAGGCAAAGAGGAGGCTTTTTGTAATAACTGGACAGAAGAGTCAAAGATAGAGCTGTCTGGCCACATAGCAGACATATTTGGTGCAAACCAAAGACAGCTTTTCAGCAGAAGAATCTAGCAGCAACCGTGAAAGCCTGGTGGTGGAAATGTGTTGGTTTGGGGTTGCTTTGCTGCTGCTTCAGGAACTGTGCAGCTTGCAGTCAGTGATTCAACTATAAACTCTGCACCGTATCAAGCAGTGTTTGAAGGTACCGTGGGACCATCCAAAGTTTCAGCTGGACCAGCAGTGGACCTTTCAGCAGGAGGATGGTTTAAAGCACACTAGAAAATCCACTAGGAGCCGGCTGAAACACAACAAACGGAAGGTTATGGAATGGTCTTGTAAAAGTCCAGATTTGAATCTCATTGAAATGTTGTGGTGGGATTTAGAGCAGGCAGTACATGCAAGAAAACCCTCAAACATCTTGGTGGTCAAAAATTCGACAAGTCGGTGTTAGAGGCTGGTGGACAATTGTGCAAAACGCCTACAAGAAGTTATTTCTGCTAACGGAGGCGATGCTAGCTTCTGAGGCCAAGGGTGTAGTTAGTTTTTCTGAAGAAAAACATTACATCTATTGATCATTTTGTTGGATAAATGATCAGAGAAAGCTAATTTCCTTTGTGATGTTGTTCAAGTGTAACATCTTCGTTTAATTCAGAAAAAATACCTCAGGCAAGATGTTTGGGAATGGGAAATCTTTTACATTTTGTTTTGTGAAAATCTGTCTTTAAGGCCTCAAAACAAAACAAAACAAAACAAAAATGCTTTGTAGCAGAAAAATGTTCTATTTAAATAAACACTAATTGCTGCAGTAATATGATCAGTCATCAGAATTTTTACAGTTTACAAGAAATTGGCCTTCCTCATTCTCCCATATAATGTTGTGAATTAGGCAAAGCATTTATGACTTTTAATAAGATCAATACAGACTTTTAATAAAGTAAAATTGGAATGCGCGTGCAATCTACTTTTATTTAAGCGTTGATCCGTTATGATATGGATCAATTCTACGTCCATTTTTTTTGCACCTCTGCCTTCAGCTTGGTGCTTGCTATTTCTATTAGCTCTCATTCTTTAGCACTATTTGTTGTTTTGTACTAGATTATAGTTGGAAAAAGTCACTTCAAGTTGTCACAAACAGATTCAAAAAGATGTCAGTGGAAATATGTTTGCTCAGGTCGTACGTTAAAAAGTTGCCAACTAAAAGGACACTGACAAGCATCTGACAAAGTCTTCTTCTCTTGTAGGAAAATTCTGAACCCCTGCTTCTTAGTTATAATGCCAATCATCTGCATATCAAAGCTAAACAGCTCTGCTTTGAGCGTGCGGTCCATACTGTGCTCAGCTGCCACTGATATACATGTCAATGTCAGCATCAATGAAGACAATAAATATTTTGCTGGCACATACTGCAGCACATAACGCAAGGGCTCATGTTCATCAAGTGAACTCAGGGAGCTCAGATTCACACTTGCAGGACGCCTGCATCTGTTTATGAAACTAAAGGGCCCTGGGCCAGATGATTATTCCAAGGGTTGGGAAGTCAGTGAAGTGAGAGAATTGGTAAGTGAGAGCAACAGAGGAGGACTTGTGACCATTTTGTTTGTGCTGAGAGCGTAAGATTGGTCCCTTGTGTTTGACGCTGTGAGGGCCTCGATGGGCCTTCAATATTCAACTTCACACAGATCGCCAAAGCTTTTCAGAATCTCTGCACTGGTTCTGCTTTGATCCCATTCAATCACGGCTTTGATTTCTGCAAACATTTTTTTGTTGTTCCTTTGTGACCCACATGATTCACCTTGACTCGGATGGCTGACTGTGCCTGATATTGACTGAATAACAATCCCTGGAGTGAATATTTCATCAACATCGAAAGGCTGCATTTTAATATTTTAAACAGTGAATAGTTCTTGTTTAGTCCTCATACAGAAATTATAATTCCAAATGCTACAAATTCTGGAAACTGATTCTTGTCTCTCTAAATGCCCGAATTCTTCAAAAAGCATTTTCTTATTTGCAAATCGTTTTCCCTCGGCCCACGCAGTTCTGAGACCACATGCAAGAGAGCAGCCAATGGAACTGTGGCGAGGACTATTTCATAACACTTCATGTTGGGAGATGGCAGATCCATTGTTCTCAAGGCCCACGAGCCTGTGGGCGAGAGTCCCTGCTGTGTCTACACTGAAGAACCACACCAGCCTCCCAGGCTATATTTTCCTCTCTTTTCTGCAGACACTGGAGGCTACTGTGACCATTCCAGCTCTCTCTCTCCCACTGCTACAGGCCCCGCTCTGCCTGCTTCTCCACCTCTCCAATCCCTTCGCCATCGAGCCGGGGTGAAGACGAAGCTGTCGCTGCACAGCTAGGAAGCATGCAGCTGCTACTATAATAGCCCTAATTGCACGTTTCTTTTGTTGGGCTGAAATTAGCGGTGGGGCTGCAATACTACTACTAAAACCCCCCCAAAAAAACCTCCAAGTAAAGATGGCGGGGTGAGAGTTAAAAAAAAAAAAAAAAAAAGACACTCTGGGGTGCGTTCACCAGTGAGACTGCCAACCCCAGTGCAGAATGGTCCACACCTGCACGCTCGCACCCCCGCTAAAGTAAACACAGATAATAAGGTATAATTACTTTAGAAAATAATAACGAGGAGCAACCCTCAGGACCCCCCTTCTCTCGGTGACAAAGGGCTGCTTGTTTATTGTGGGGGGTGAGACAGCCCCAAAGGACGCTGGCGAGTGCCCTATCAAAAGACCTGAGGGCCCAACTGAGGGTCCCTTATAGGACAGCCATCAGTGTCAAGGAGGACTTGGGCTTTTAAGTCTCTTCTACCCCTAACTGCCTCAATTAACCAGTATGGATTGACCACAGGCGGCTTTTTCGGCTCCATTCATTCTCGTCAAAATGATCCTGTGTTGTCTTGAATGGTTTGCACCTTTTTGCACTGGATCAGAAGAAACCCAGAACATGTATCTAAAATGATACCAATAATGTGTAAAACAAAGGTCCGTATATGTGCATCAGCAAAGACGAGAATGTGTGAACTTATGC